CTCGCGGACATTCCCCTGGTTGTCGAGGATGTACTCGCCGTCGAGGGTCACCAACTTCAACGGCGGTAGGTTGCGCACGAACGAGACTATCTTCAAATAGTCGGCCATGTCCTCTTCGTCAAGCGACCCCCGCACGCACTATGTACCGGTCTGTCCCTCGAAAGAAATGTTCCGGGGACCATTCCACGCGCACCCACGGCAGCATGACGGCCTCCTGCTGGCCATTCACGATTCGTTCCCCTTCTGAATATAAAGAGCCAACCCTCGCATGCGTGATCAGGCTGACGACGAAGAAACGACCCTTGAAGTCCCGGACAGAGTCCATGTACGTTTTGAAAAGCCTGTCCGGTTGCTTGAACGACACCCAGCCATGCCTGCCATTCACCGTCTGCCGCTGCAGATGGAAGATACGGGAGAATAGCGGCAACGTGATGCCGACCTGGAGATAACGACACACGACCTCGAACGCCCGAATAAAAGCCAAGGCATTCAGATGCAGCTGCGAGGGGGCCAGCCTCAGCCAATCAAAGAGGCCCAAGTGGAAGTCTGAGAACGACAACCTGAGCCTGGCCTCTTTAAAATAGAATTCATACATTGGGAATCACATCCTCCTGTACTTCGAGCAGATTAGGTGGCCTGCCCGAGGACGATAAACTTGCCAATTTTAGGGGTCACCTTCTCTCCGGTCCTCCACGGTGGTGTAGGCTCCCGTCGGGTCAGTAGCGAAACAGGAAGGCATGGACAGAGGCTCCTCGGCCACCCACTCCTCGAGGGGGAGAGCGCGCTCGTCGAAGTGTGGAACGTCCGGTTCATTGTCCTCGACCATTGTCCCCAGGAAAAACGTAGTCATTAACACCTGAAAAGCAAAAGGTAACGGTGAATTCGATGACAAAGATCAAATTCACCCTTCCACCGCAAGTCAAGTGAAAGGGCGACGAGGACAGATCGAGCATCGTCCCAGGTGGCTCTACCCAAAACCTACCACCTCCCCGGGGAACCGGCATAACCTAACCTACACACTCTCCCCGAGGCATTCATCAGAATAGACGTTGCTCCCCGAGACGTTCATCGAAATAAGCGTCTTTCCCCGGGGTATTCATCGTAACAAGCATCTGTCCCCCGGGGTATTCATCGGAATTGGCGTTTCTCCTCTGAACGCTCACGGTAAAACCCTAGAAAATCCCCCTACAGCGGCGGAGATCCTCACCTTTCCTCGGGGCATTCAACATGCCCCGACCACAACCCTAAAACAAACGAGAAAACGAAAGAAAGGAGAAGAGAAACTTACTATATTTCAATCTGTGGCGGAGTATGTGACGGTTGCTGCTACGGAGAGATCAGACGGTAGCAAGGCGGCAAGACAGAGAGTTTGAGAGCAAGAGGGCAAAAAGTGGAGAATGAGTGGGGACTCACTTACTTATACCCCAACACGGAACTCGAAGCGTCGCTAGGCACTCGAGTACCCTAGGGTAGCCGCCCTAGCGGCCACCCAGCGCATGACACGTGGCGAAGGATGACATTCGTGTCCCCTCATGTCTCCACGCCGGCACGTGTCCTCAAGCTTGAACACCTGACGAAGAGGAAGGACTCGCATGCTCGCGTCCCCGCTAAACACGAGCCGGAGAGTTCTCCCTCCTCGGGCAAATCTCTCCTCCCTGGAACAACGTCATCAAGTCCTCGCTCCCTCCCTCGGAGCTACGACTTGAGGGGCTCCTGTTCTGGCCTGGGTCCCGACTTGGTCAGGCAGACCCAGCCCAATAATATTATGCCAAGCCCAGTCCAGCTTGGGCCGAAGCCTTCAAGCACAAGGTCCCCGATGGACAGGTAATGCCCCTCCGCGGGCAGAACCTGCCTCATCTGTGTCGAGCACAAGACTCTCCCATTAACCAGACACTGCCCTCTCCGCGGGCAGAACCTACTCCTCTGTCGGGTAGGACAACGTGTCCTTCACACGTTCTCCACGTGCTCCCCTCCGCGGGGACACGTCATCGACCAACTGCCCACCGCCGAAAGAGCAGGTCAAACCCTCTTTCCAGAGATCACGGGACAGTTGGACTAGGGAGAAGACCACGTCCTGGTCTTCACTACGCCACGTAAGCCCTAGCAGTCACCTGGGTTGGGTCTGGCAATCCAGCCCAACACAAGTGACCTTTGACCCATCGCTGGGGTCTCTCTATAAATACCCTCTTTCACAAGAGGGTCAGATAATTCTCTTCTTACCCCTTTTTTGTATTTGTTCACACTCTGCCAAATTCCTTACTTTGGCATCAGAGTGTCTTGCAGGTACACCCCCTCCTCCTCTTCAACACCGGTGAGCAGGCAGTAGATCAACGGCGTGTGGCAAGTCCTTGGTCCCCTTCTGATCAGGCCAAATCAAATATTATTCATGAATCCTTCTGTGATTGTCAAATTTTCTAAGATCCATGAAAATCTTCATTGATACTTTTCTGATCAATGGAGACAAAATAATTATTTTCTTATCAATCATCAAGGGATAACCATTCTTTGATGAATGAATAAAACATTTCATTCTTTGAACAATCCTCTAGGGATCCTTTATAAATATATAATTTTTTCAAGAGGTAGACCATAGATCTTCAAACAATGATAAAGATAAACAATTTTCGTACAATCCTCCAGTGATGCTTATAAGATCTTAAAGAACTATATAAATTATTATTTTTCTATCATTCAAGATCTGTTTGGATTGATGGAAAGGGATGGAATGGAATGGAGTGGAGTGGAGTGGAGTTATGTTCCATTGTTTGGATTTACAAAAATTGAATGGAATGGAATGAAGTATGATGGAACACATTCCATCCAATACCACTATTTTGGCCCACTTTTCATTCCCCCAAATTGGGGTGTATCCAATGGAATGGAATCAATTAATAAAACAATTACAATTTTATCCTCCAAATTTTCATTTTTTTTATTAACCGTTCCTATTCCTTATTTCAATCAACGTGATATTTTTCTATTCATTCACTGCAACTTTTCTCCTTCACAGGCCTTCTTCTTGCTTGCAAAAAGTCTATCTTTCTTCTACCCTAACAAGGTACATCATATTTCTTATTTTTTTACCTGTATTTATATGTGAACTCTATTAAATTAAATATCTTGATTTATCTTCATGTTCATGTCTTTTTCATTTTTCAAAAATTAGGTATAGTTACTAAAAACAAAACCTAAAATTATGACTTATGTTGCTTTATAGTGTTTTGTAAGTTAAATTAACTTATATATTATTTTAGTGTGAGAATGTTGGATCTATCAATATTGTAGCAAAGGGTAAAAATGAAATAAAAAAGTTATAATATCCTCCGCTCCGTCCAATTCCCAAACAGTGGAATGAGATATTAGTTCCGCTACGTTGTAAAATATCCCAACAGTGGAATGAAGTTTATATTCCGTTTCGTTCCATTTCACTCCATCCTATTTCGTTCAGTTCCGCTCCATTATTTTTAAATTATCCAAACATAGCCTTAGGGATCTTGATTAGTTCATCAGAAACAATATAGTAAATTATTATTTTGCTATCCTTCAGGATACTTGATAAGTTCTTTAGAAACTATATAATAAATTATTATGTTACTCTCCTTTAAGAATACTTGATAAGTTCTTTAGAAACTGTATAATAAATTATTATTTTTCTATCTTTTAAGGATATTTGTTAAGTTTTTCAAAAACTATATAACAAACACATTATTTTATAGTTTTTAGAGATATTTTAACATTATTCATCCAATCATTCTGGGATGCATGAAAATCATCATTGATTTTTTCTTCTAATCAATATATCAATACATAATAGGTAGAATTAGAAGTATATGTTATGAAACAAAAAAAATGTTACCTTCTAAATCTTAGAGCTTCATATAGTTAGAACTTCATTATCAAATTATTTGTATCACTTCTTAGACAATTAGTTATCATTAATATGCTAGAATTTCGTGTTGATAACTAAATAAAACAATATAGAGAGCAAAGAGAAAAAACGAAAAGAGAAAATAATATTATATTATCTTCTACAAATGTACACTTTACATTGCAATGTATCTTATTTATATGACCTAAAGAAGATGAAAAATCACAACTATTAATAAAAAATAGAAAGATATAAAGAAGAATAAAGATGAACATCCACTTTTATTTTTATTCAAAACAAATTAAAAATTTAATAAAAATTACACATAAATTAAATTTCTTATTTATTTTTAATTAATAATTGTTTTAAAAATATTTAAATTTAATTAAATAATAAATTTATAAGTTCGCATATAATTTATTACTCTAATTTAATTTTATTATAGTAGTTACTCAAGTATCAGAAGTGATATTAGTAATTATTAATATTGTTAATTTTTTACAAGACTAACATTAATATAGGAGAGAAAAGATTTGTACGTGGGGCCCACAAAATATTAGACTCTCTTTTCTTTCTTAGCAAATCAAGCAGCATTGATTTGACACTTCTTCTCTACTTCTTTCTTCTCTTACTCTCCTCAAACAATAAGACTCTCTCTTCGTTTCTGATCCGTACGATTCAGTGTAATTTGTAATTACTCTTTCGATTTGTGGTTTTTTTGAATTTTGAATCGAATGCTTCGTGCTCGTAGTTTTTAGATTTAGGATTATAATGTTAGTGTGATTGTTCATGCAGATCTTGATTGCTTACTGCAATTCATGCTGAGATATTGCTGTTCAGTTTTGTAATTGTATAGTACCGATTTTTTTGGTGAGATTTAGTTTTGTTACCTAGGTGCTTCGATTTTGCACTGAATCTGTTGATTTTTTTAAAATGTATTTTGTGTGATTTAGTTTGTGAATGGTGATTTAATCGCTTTGGTTTTTGAGTTGAAGTATTGTTAATCATGTGTAGTAATGCTTGTGATTTTGCTTCGTTAGTTTTGTTCTGGTGATTTGAAGTGTTTCTGGTTTTTAAGTGTTGTGTTTGAAGTGGTTTGCAGGATCGAGAATCATCAAGCTAACAATCATCAATGGCGATGGCGTTGAGGAGATTTGTGATGAGAGGTTTGGACAGTTACCGCAAAAAGTACATCGAGAAGGACTCAATTCAGCCTTTGTACCATGTGCTTTACGGTGGTATGATTTCCTCCTACCTCATCGCTCTTCCTTACGAGCGTCGCCGTCTTGGTTATGAAGAAACTGATAACGTGTTCAGATTTGCTTTTTTAGAGGTCAATGATGTTCCTAGGTATATGCTTTTTTTTTCATTGCATTAGAATTTCAGTTTTATTTGATTTCTGGTAAAGATAGATTGTATGATTGATTTGGTGTTATTGTTTTTTAGCTTATTGCACAAGTGCTTATCGAAATAACTGCTTATGAATAAGCTTGCATAAGCTATTTTTATAACAAAAGATGAAATAAATTTAAATTGCTTTTATATATGTTATAAGTTGTTTTCATTTGCTATCTTGAAAATTTTATAAAAATAAGTTGGAAAAAATTTATGAAAAATGTCATAAGCTGTTTTAATTAAATCTCCTAAATAGTGTCGCAAAACTTATTGCAGTAGATAATCTCAAATAAGCCCGTCCAAACAGGCCTTAAGTCTATGTTTTCTCTTAAACATGAGTTGGCGGATGACTATTTCCAAGCACACACCCTTGTTGCATATTGATTTTGCATCTAGAATTGATTATAAATCGATAAGTTGGGTTGGTTATGTATTTATAAGAATTTCATTTTTATGCTTGACCTCTCACAGCCTTCCATTGGCTGATATGAGATCTCAGACTTCTGATCCTATTTGTTTTTACTTGTTTTTTATTTGTTAACATGATGTTAAAAGATCTTGTGGAATTCTAGGCACTAAAATCAATGTTTTAAATCTTGGTGGTATTGCAATCTTTGGCGTTGTGTAAAATTGTGTGCAAGTACTGCCGAAGATAAATAAAAATTCTTGACATTGTGGTCACTGGCCGGCTTTGTTTTTTAAAACCTTCATCTACATGATGCTTCTTCTATTCTGTGTTGCTTTAGTTTGACAGTTTAAATTTATGTATTGTTGGATTCCACATTGGTCATTATGTTGATTGTTGTAGCTTTTCAACTGTCCCGCTTTGTTTTGAAAACCTTGATTTACACGACGCTTTTTCTAGTTTGTATTGCTTTAGTTTGACGGTTTAAATTTATGTATTGTTGGATTGCCACATTGGTTATTATGTTGATTGCTGTAGCTTTTCAACTGGCCGGCTTTGTTTTGAAAACCTTGATTTACACGATGCTTCTTCTAGTTTGTATTGCTTTAGTTTGTATGTTTCTTCTAGCTCTTAATATTTGGTTTCTGATATCTATTTTTTTTCCTTTAGTTGGTTGGCAGTATGACTCATGATTTGAGGATATTTGACGTGTCCATTAATGGTTCTTTGAAAGTTGTTGATTGAAGGTAGAAGTTGATTCAGCAGGGAGTTTAGATCCACAAGCCACTGTTTACAATGTTTTTACTTTCTAAGCAACACCAATATTTTTACTTCCTAGGCATCATGAATCATGAATGTGTTGTGCTAATGCTAAACCATCATGATTATTGTGAATATCCGTAGTTGTCTAAACGTAACTCCGTCCAATATTTTAATTGAATGCATGTTTGGTATCAGTGTGAGTTTCTGAATATTACCTTGAAAAGCTTGAGTGTAGTTTCACCAAAATTCTGTCTAGCTTTCAAATGCGATTAGTCATAGCTTTTAAAATTAGTAGGTCATCCGCAAACATTAAACGAGAAATGTTAAGTTAGTTAGCACTCATAGACATCCAAACATTCATCTAGTGTTTGAGTATAGCATTTGAAAGAGTTTGTTCAAATATAAAACAAAGACAGGCTCGAAGTAATTTTTTAAATGATTTTGTATTTGTATCATTATAACAACCATCAATCAAGAATTAAAGAACTCTAAAAAAGAAACAAAAAAGGTGAACTCTACATTAAATTGTAATTTCTTTGCTGATGCATTTAGTTATGAGGATAATTAGGGACATGTAAAGGATCTCCAAATGGATTATGATTACCCATAATCTGCAACTGTTGAGGGTATTGACCATGAGGTTGTTGCTGGTGAAGCACCATTTCCATGTTTTGATGTTGTTGTTGTGGATACATCATTTGCTCTTGTTGGATCATTGCTATCCTCCATTTCTAGACCCTACATAACATAGACAAATATGTATTATGTAAAGTTAAAATCATTATCTCTCCTGCACTGTTAGTTAGATAGAACGATAATTGAAACATACCAATAAATCATCGGTACCATCGGTTGATATTAGTGGAGGAGACTCAACCTTCTCTTCCTCAAGCTGTGTTTCTTCCTCGGGTACCACTTCTTCTTCCTCCTCACTGGCTTCCTCTTCTTGCTTTACTTCTTCTTGAGGCTCTTCAGCTTTTTTGGCTCTGATTCTTCTTCAGACAATTTATCATTTTCCTGATACTGCTATGTTTATTTTAAAAAACACATTATACTTACTTTATGGCATGGATGAAAAAGTGCAAGGAAATTTATCACCACTTTTTTCTTACCAATCTCTTGTTCTCAGTGTCTAATTGGGGAGCTTCTCTAATATATTATTTCATTGTAGCAAGGAAAGATGGCAACGACAGTTAATTCAATCAAAGATCTTCATGAGTTTCTTCTTTCTCAAGGTATCGAATGAAATATATACTATAGGTCCGTTTGACTCACAGTATTGGACATGACAAAAATAGTTATTCGAAGTTTGATTTGATAAACGATCATAGGATTGGACAAAACCTCAAACAAAGTTGTTCGCCAAACACCTTACCAACTAATAAGTTGTCTAATACTTATTGTTTTGCAAATCAAAGGGATCATAAGAAACAAAAGGAACCTGTCTTAGTGTTGGAAATTGGAAATTCCTAGCAATTAAAAACCGGCAAGACTTTCAGCCTACATAAGAGAGAAAAATCACAAATTCAAACGAAGGTTACTCTTTAGAAAAATCTCATTTAAAATCAAAGATATTATTACAAACCTGTTGGCAAGCTCTTTTATATATATTTAAAGCCTTATGTCTTGTAGTTTCAAAAAACTGCAATTTTCATTAGTACAATTCAATACTCAATTAAAAGCTAATTAAATTGAAAAGCTAACACGAAATAAACACGACCATGTTTATCATTGAGTGCGCAATATATTTTGAAGTTCTCTTTCAATATCAAGGGCTGTAAAATGTTAAAGAAAATCAAAAGTTATTTTAAACTCAAGAAAAATGTAATAATGCATATTGTACTAGATAATTGTTATAAGCACATTCTTCAGGCTGTAAAATGTTAAAGAAAATCAAAAGTTATTTTAAACTCAAGAAGAAAAATGTAATAATGCATATTGTAGTAGATAATTGTTATAAGCACATCCTTCAAGCTGTAAAATTAAAATGTTAAAGAAAATCAAAAGTTATTTTAAACTCAAGAAAAATGTAATAACTCGAATGCACGTACCAAACTCAAGTTGTTTCTATTTATTCATACCTACCAAACTCAAGTTGTTTCTATTTATTCATACCTGACAACCGATAAGGCAAAATAAAAGTTGTTGTAGTGTTAGCAGCTGTTCCAACAGGTCGTCATTAGCTAATAGTTAAAATTCAACCATAATTTATAGAGAATTCCTATTTAATCTTTGATCTCAAGATTGTTATCAATCACGTAATGATAATGAAAAGATAAAAAAAGAAAGAAAGTAACGTTGAAGAAAAAGACGAGAATTCTGCAGAGTTCTCTCTTCTCACAAACTGTGAAAATTCTCTTATTCACTTGCAACTGCAATCTGTGAATACAATGTTATGTTTACAAAATAAGGGTTGCTCCCTATTTATAGATTTAGGTTAGCTTGCACCCCAAGGCAAAACACAAAACTATAAAAGCCCAAAATAACTAACATTACTAAAATAGGCCTAAGTCGAAATCCTGTGTGAAACAACCTGCTTCAACACTTCGACACACTAATACAACTCGACACACACACATTAGATAACTTGACTAGTCCTTGTTTTTGTCGAGGCACACTGCTTCGAATAAAAAAATTACAATCTTAACACACTACCTAATTCATTGTGTCTAAGCTATCTACATTCATCATAGACCTTAACTTCTTGAACACTTCGACTTGCACTCCTTTCGTCATGATATCTGCAATCTGATTCTCAGATCTGCAGTATTTCAAATTCATCTTCCCTTCTGCTACATGTTCTCGAAGACAATGAAACCTCTTTCGATGTGCTTGCTTCGACCCTGTGCTATTGGATTCTTCGCCAGGTTGATAGCTGACATGTTGTCGTTTTTCATGGTAATTGCTCCCTGACTCTTCCATGTGATATCTTCGACCAGGTTCACCATCCATGTTGCTTAACATGCATAAAAAGAAGCAACTATGTATTCTGCTTCGCATGATGATAATGCCATTACTGCCTCCTTTCTCGAACTCCAAGTAACTGGTGCACCACCTAGCATAAACACATAGTCAGCTGTGGATTTTCTATCCTCAACATCACTACGCCAACTTGAATCAGTGTATCCCACTATCTTACATTATTTTCCTTCATCAGTTGCAGGAAATAAAATTCTATAATCGAGAGTTCCTTTCAGATGCCTCAGTATCCTCTTCATCGCTGCTAGGTGTGATATATTTGGTTTCTACATGAATCTACTTACCATATCCATATTGTATGCTAATTCAGGCCTTGTGTGACAAATGTATCTTAATGACCCAATTAGTATTCTATATTGGGTTGGATCGACATCTTCTTCATCTGGATTTTTTTACAGTTGCAATCTGGTCTCAGCTGAAGTCGAAGTTGGGTTGCAATCTTGCATCTCAAATCTCTTGAGTATTTCGCCTGCATATCTTCTTTGGTGCATCATCAAACCTCTACCACTCTTGTAGAATTTAATGCCAAGGAAATATGAGAGATTTCTCAAGTCTGACATTTCAAACTCCTCACTTAGGTCATGTTTGAAATCTTTGATCTCCTTCTTGCAACTTCCTGTTATCAACAGATGATCGACATAGAGACATAGTATAATCAATTCATTATTGCTTCTTCTTACACATATTCCCTGCTCAGTTGTGCACTTTATAAATTTCTTCTCCCTTAGAAAGTTTTCGATATTCTTATTCCAAGCTTTTGGAGTTTGCTTAAGTCCATACAGGGATTTGCAGTCTGTACACCTTTCTTTCTTCACCTTGTTTCACAAACCCAGCTGGTTGTGCAACATAAACTTCTTCGTCTAAGAGGCCACTCAGGAATTCACATTTCACATCCATCTGATATGTGTGCCAATTGTTCATATTTTCTAGACCAACAACCAACCTAATTGTTTCGATCCTAGCAACGGGTGCAAAAACTTCGTCGAAGTAGATTCCTTCCTTCTGTAGGAATTCTTTCGCCACAAGTTTCGCCTTGTGTCAAGTTACCTCTCCTTTAGGATTCACCTTCACCTTGTAAACCCATTTCACATCAATTGCCTTCTTGCCTTGAGGAAATTCGACAAGTGACCAAGTGTTGTTGACTTTCATGGACTTTAACTCCTCATTCATTGCTTTCACCTACTTCAAATCTTTCAATGTCTCAGTTGCATTGACTGGTTCAACATCTACGTAGAAAGCATAATGTACTAGCTCACCTTCTTTATCGACCACATCATCTGATGTAATCGCACATTCTTGCAACCTTACAGACATGTGTCTTATTCGTTGAGATCTGCTTGGGCCTGCTTCACCTCTTACTTCTTCTTGTCGAACTTCTCTTTCGACTTCACTAGATGGTTCTTCACATAAGATTCTCACTGAATCCTTCTTGACATTATCAGTTCAATCTCATTCCTTAAGTTCATCTATGATCACATCACTGTTGATCACAACTTGCTTGTTCACTGGGTCGAACAACTTGTATCCTCTAGTCGAATGATATCCTATTAGGATCATTTGACTTGACTTGTCATCAAACTTTCTTCTCAACTGATCTGGCACATATCTATGTGTTACAGATCCAAACACCTTCAAATGACTTAGGTTAGGCTTGAAACCATACCAACATTCTTCTGTCGTGATTCCTTCTAACTTCTTCGTTGAACATCTATTAAAGATATTCTTTGAGTAGATGCTTTCCTTTCAACATGCTTCTCATCATGTTTGTCACGGTGAGAATTGAATATCAAGCTATTGGATTTAACTTGAATCACAAATCATGAAGTTCACCATCGAGCTTTGATTTATCCAAAGGAAAGGGTAAAGATCGAAGAAAACCCTAAGTGCGCTATGTAACAACACATCTAAGAGATCTGAGGTTCGGGGTTGGTTATACCTAGGGAA